GTATCGAGGACTGCCTCCACCTTCTCCAGGTGGGTTTCCCAGTCTGGGGTATGAATGACCACATCGTCCAAGTAGGCAGCAGCATAACTGTTATGCGGGCGTAATAGCTTGTCCATGAGGCGCTGGAATGTAGCTGGGGCCCCATGTAGTCCAAAAGGGAGGACAGTATATTGAAAAAGACCCTCTGGTGTAGAGAATGCAGTCTTTTCCTTTGCGTCTGCAAGGGGAATCTGCCAGTACCCCTTTGTCAAGTCTAGGGTAGTCAAGTACCGGGCATTACCCAGACGGTCCACTAGCTCGTCTATGCGAGGTATGGGGTACGCGTCGAACTGGGATACTTCGTTTAGTCGCCGGAAGTCGTTGCAAAATCTTGTGGTGCCATCAGGTTTGGGCACCAGCACGATCGGGCTGGACCACTGACTGTGGGATTCTTCGATGATCCCCAACTCCAGCATTTATTTACTTCTGCTTTTATTTCCTCCCTTTTTGCCGCTGGCACCCGATAAGGCCTCATTGTTACTCTGGCCCCAGGGTTCGTGACGATGTGGTGATATGTCTCGGTTGTTCGACCCGGTTTTGTCAAGAACACATCTTGGTTCCGGAAGATCATCCCAGACACCTCATTCTTCTGGTCTGGTGTTAAATCAGGAGACACTCTCACCTGTTTGGAAGGCTTGTTTTCCTGGGTTAGGTCTTTTTGGACCGTTGTGCATGCCTCTTGTGCATGCCAGGGTTTCAGAAGGTTAACGTGATAAATCTGTTCTTGTTTTCTGCGTCCTGGCTGCCGCACCTTGTAGGTTACTTCCCCCACGGGTTCAACCACCTCATAGGGCCCCTGCCATTGGGCCAGAAGCTTGCTTTCTGCCGTGGGTACCAACACCATAACCCGATCCCCTGGTTGGAACTGTCGCACTTTTGCCTGGCGATTTTAATGGGTTCACTGGGCCTCCTGGGGCTTCTCCAAATGTTCCCGTACAATAGGGGTGACCCGGGCTATCCGGTCTCGCATCTGCATTACATGCTCTATTATATTTCTCCCCTCATTGGGTTCCTCTTCCCAGATCTCTTTGGCGATATCTAGTATGCCACGGGGGTGACGCCCGTATAATAACTCGAAGGGGGAAAACCCAGTTGAGGCCTGAGGTACCTCCCGGATAGCGAACATAATGTAGAGTAGTAGGGTGTCCCAATCCTTCCCGTCTCGACTTACCACCTTCCTTATCATAGCCTTGAGGGTTCGGTTAAACCTTTCTACCAACCCATCAGTCTGCGGCTGGTAGACCAAAGTTCTCAGGGTATGTATATGGAGCAACGTACAGAGGTCCTTCATTAGCTTCGACATAAATGGGGTTCCTTGGTCTGTTAATATCTCCTTCGGTAGTCCCATTCGGGCATAGATCCCCACCAGTTCTTTGGCTATAGTTTTAGAGGCCGTGTTCCACAGGGGGACGGCTTCTGGGTAGCGAGTAGCATAGTCCAAAACAACAAGTATATATTGGTGGCCTCGACCCGTCTTCTCCAGGGGTCCCACTAGGTCCATGGCTATTCGCTCGAAGGGGACCTCTATGATGGGAAGGGGTACTAAAGGTGCCCTCAAGTGGGGATGGGGACTGTGCAGCTGACACTCCGGGCAGGAGGCACAGTACCTCCGCACTTCTTCATGTACTCCGGGCCAGAAAAAACGTCGTAGGACTCGTGCCAGGGTCTTCTCTACCCCCAAATGCCCCCCAAAAAGATGACTATGAGGAAGACTTAATACAGCGTTCTGGTTTTTTTTGAGGTACTAGGATCTGCTGTACCTTCTGCCCCTGCACTGGTGCAACCCGGTATAAGAGATCCTTCTTCATTATGAAGTAGGGTCCTGATCCCTGGGTTTTCCCTTTCACGGGGACCCCATCTATTTCAGTCACCTCCTTCCTAACGTTGTCATACCTTGGGTCTTCTGCCTGGTCCCATCCAAAATTTCCTCTCCCGGAGCTAATCTGCCCAAGATCTAGGGGCCCAGTCTCTGTTGCCTCTACTAGTTCAGAAGCATTCGGGTAGGGGTCAGACTCAGGTGCTTCTCCCTCCTGCATGGCCTCCTTTTCAGCTGCGCAGGTCTGCCTAACTACAAGAGCGACCCTCTGGCTTTGGGTCAGTATTCGGGTTCCCAAGGCCTTAGCTGCCCTTCTTTCCCTTTTTGTCTTTCTACCCTGTCTAGGAGTGGAGAACAAATCTGGGGATATTTCAGAGAAGATTGGGGGTTGACAGTCTGCTGTGGATGCCTCACCAATTTTAGGGTTCCCATCTTTCTCCAATCCCCCTACTGGGAGTAAGTTTCCAAACCCTGGGAAGTCCCTCCCTATGAGCACCGGGTATGGGAGTTTAGGGACTACACCTGCTGCTACCTCAGTAGTGTTCCCTTGGATCTCGATTTTTACTGGGATGGGGGGGTAGTAACTAACTGTCCCATGGACACATGTTATCCCCGTACGTTTAGCCTGCAGCAGCTGACTACGCTTCACGAGCTTCCCTGAGATAAGCGTGATAGCACTCCCCGAATCAACCAGTGCCGTGGTCTCTACCCCATTTAGTTTCACTGGTCTGGTATTCATATGTGGGGTTAGTGAGACCCCCACAAGGTGGATTAGGGAGCATAGGTCTGCCCAGTTCCCCAGGTTACACTGCATAGGCTCCTCAGCATTGGGACACTGTGCAGCTATGTGTCCTCACTCTCTGCAGGCATAACATCTGTATGGAGCCCTAGGCGTTCCCCGGTCTCTTGGTTTGGGCAGTCTAACATCATGATCCTCTTCTCCCTCAGTGCTCCGACTCTTTGTGGCCTCTGATGGGCCTTCAGCCTCTCTCTTTTTCCACCTGGGTTCTCCTGGTGGCCCAGTCACCCGAACTTTAGGGCTTGGTGCTGCTAGTTTAACCCGGGATGCCTCTTCCTTAACTGGTCGGGTCAGCTCCCTCACTGTGCTTTGCCTCTCTACCAGGGCGACAACCTCGTCATAGGTGGAGGGTTCGTTCTGGCTTACCCAGGCACGAAGGTCTGGTGGTAGTCCCCTCATGTATCGGTCGATGACCAGAACCGCTAGTATCTCTTCCTGACTCCGGGACTCTGTTTGCAACCACTTTCGTGCGAGATGGATGAGGTCATACAATTGGGACCGCGGGGTTTTGTCTTCCTGGTACCTGCAACCGTGATACTGCTGGAGGCCCGCACTGCTGTCATTACCCCAGATCTAGCCAGGATCTCTGCTTTCAGCTGGGGGTAGTCTGCCACAGCCTCCTCAGGCAGATCATGGTAGGCCTACTGGGCCTCCCCACACAGGAATGGGGCAAGGATGCCAGACCACTGATCTCGAGGCCAGGCCTCCCGTAGGGCTGTCCACTCAAAGGCCAGAAGGTATGCCTCTACATCATCCTCCCGTGTCATTTTCTGCAGCTAATGGCTGGCCCGTATGAGCCGCGTCCCATCATGGCCACGATTCAGCTCTGTAAGGGACTTTACCTGGTTTACCAGTTCCCGCAACATAGCTCGGTCTTGAGCAGCCTGGTCCATCAGCAGGTGATTAGTCTCTTGCTGCAGCCGCACTGCCTCTTGTTGGGCAGCTGCCTGGACACGGGTAGCCTCCTGCTGGGCCGCCGTAGCTTGTATCAGTGCCCGCACTATGTCATCCATTATGGTGGGGAAAAAAAACCCTCTCCCTTTTTTTTTTTAAGTCACCCTCCTTCTTCCGCCGTGCTGTGCACCCCAAGATCCCACCTCTGACACCAGTGTGACAAAGTTCCTCCTCTATCTTGGTGGGTCCTGCGCTTATTGGCGGATTTTCTTGCCTCAGAGATTCATCATGTGGGTTGGGGAACAGCCCAGAGACCTTCCCCTCTGGAAGAACCCACAGTCCAGGTCAATTGGGAGGTTTGGGGGGAACCCGGGCCCGCCCTCTACTCCGGGTTCCAGCCCAGGGCCCTGTGGACTGCAGCTGTCTATAGTGCCTCCTGTAACAGCTGCATGACAGCTACAACTCCCTGGGCTACTTCCCCATGGCCTCCTCCAAACACCTTCCTTATTCTCACCACAGGACCTTCCTCCTGATGTCTGATAACGCTTGTACTCAGTCCTCCAGCAGCACACCCTCTCACTCTCAGCTCCTTGAGCCTCTTGCTCCCAGCTCCTCACACTCGCACCACAAACTGAAGTGAGCTCCTTTTTAAAACCCAGGTGCCCTGATTAGCCTGCCTTAATTGATTCTAGCAGCTTCTTCTTAATTGGCTCCAGGTGTCCTAATTAGCCTGCCTGCCTTAACTGGTTCTAGCAGGTTCCTGATTCCTCTAGTGCAGCCCCTGCTCTGGTCACTCAGGGAACAGAAAACTACTCATCCAGTGACCAGTATATTTGCCCTCTACCAGACTCCTGTACCCCACTGGTCTGGGTCTGTCACACAACATATATGAATTTCTGAATGGATCATGGTCTTCCTGGGGAATAGGAGGAAGCAGGGACACCCATTGTACTGGTTTGATTAACTCTAGCTCTGTGCAATGAACAGGCAGCACAAGTACAAGTGTGGCAAGATACTAATGAATGTACCTCAATAATTTCAGTGCTGACAGTTCACATTAATCAAGACACTGAAATCACATGCTGAGAATCACATGCTATTTCTGTTCTGGGCCCCCAGGCAGCTCTGCCAGTGCACTGCACTTCTAACCTGCAGCAATCATTCAAGTCAACTACTCAAGTCTTTTGCCTCTATTGATCGGTGTTTTGTCTTTTTTGAATATTAGGTGATGAAATATGTAAGTAAGTGAGTAAGAAAAGAGACACACTTGACTCTTTCTCACTTCTGACTTATATATGGCTTTGAACTCAGCTCTCAGGATCTGAAAGGCAACAAATACCAAAACATTGTGTGACCAGCAAGGAGATGCTCCTATATCTTTATCTGCTGCCTTCTTATTTTATTGCTTTAAATTTAATTAATCAAGTTAAAGAGAGCATTCATAAAACTGACCTGAGCAGATAACTCCAGCATCTTCATGATCCCCACAGTTGTGCTGACCCCATTCCCTGAAAGGACACACCCAGAGATTGGATTCATTCCCAGAGCAATTCACATCATCCAGCCAGATCTTCCCAGATCCTGGCCCATATCTAGCAGCGACAGTTGCATTGATGGCGTGTCCACATCTCAGTTGTTTGCAAGCAACGTTGGCATCTGATAGATCCCAGGAATTATCACAGACTGTTCCCCAGGTGCCATTATAATAAATCTCCACTCTCCCAGAGCAGTGATCTGTCCCATTCACAAGTCTAATCTGTTTGTTTTCTGTAGGTATAAATCTCATTTGTTAATAAGTCATTTTCTTATCCTACAACAAGAAACTTTTTGTAAGAATTTAGAAATAAAACATCTGAGCAAATGATAGACATCTTTCTAACTGTGCTATTCCAGATGTGAAGATGTTGCAGGTTGCCAGATGGTTTCTCATCTGCTATACACTCTGTAATTCTCAATCCCTACAGGACCTATTCCTCAGTCAAATTTGAGGTGGGTTAGGGTTATATTTTGTCATGGCCGTGACCTCTGTAACAAAATCCTTGATTAAGGGTTTAAATTTGCTCCCATAATATGTCATCCCTTTCTCATTCTCAGTAGCCTGCAACATTCCTCCATGATGTTCTGCAAATTTGTCTCGCTATATCCACTGTGTAGTGGAGTAATGGCTTTAAAGCTTAGCTGGAATATTCATCTGAACACTGCTTTACAGGTCAAAGAGCAAGGGACTCTTGTACTTTTATTTCCATTTATCCAAGTGACCATTTTGTAATTCTACATTACATTCTCAGAAAGCAAATATTTGAGATAAGAAGCCTGTAAATGACTGAAATGCATAATACGTTTTACTAACAAGTTCTACCCTAAGCTTACAAATAATTTTAGTGTCCAAGTGGCTAACAACTTCCTGGTACAAGTGCTGGAGGAACCAATGAGGGGCCATGCTTCTCTTGACCTGCTGCTCACAAACAGGGAAGAATTGGTAGGGGAAGTAGAAGTGGGTGGCAATCTGAGCAGCAGTGACCATGAGATAGTCGAGTTCAGGATCCTGACAAAAGGGAAAAAGGAGAGCAGCAGAATACGGAACCTGGACTTCAGAAAAGCAGACTTTGACTCCCTCAGGGAAGTGATGCGCAGGATCCCCTGGGAGGCTAATATGAGGGGGAAAGGAGTCCTGGAGAGCTGGCTGTATTTTAAAAGAAGCCTTATTGAGGGCACAGGAACAAACCATCCCGATGTGCAGAAAGAATAGCAAATATGGCAGGTGACCAGCTTGGCTTAACAGAGAATATTCAGTGAGTTTAAACTCAAAAAGGAAGCTTACAAGAAGTGGAAACTTGGACAGATGACTAGGGAGGAGTATAAAAACATTGCTTGAGCATGCAGGGGTGTAATCAGGAAGGCCAAAGCTCAGTTGGAGTTGCAGCTAGCAAGAGATGTGAAGGGTAACAAGAAGGGTTTCTACAGGCATGTTAGCAACAAGAAGAAGGTCAGGAAAAGTGTGGGACCGTTAGTGAATGTGGGAGGCAACCTAGTGACAGATAATGAGGAAAAAGCTGAAGTACTCAATGCTTTTTTTGCTTCAGTCTTCACAGACAAGGTCAGCTCCCAGACTGTTGAACTGGGCAGCACAGTATGGGGAGGAGGTGAGTAGCCCTCAGTGGTGAAATAATAGGTTAAGAACTATTTAGAAAAGCTGGACATGCACAAGTCCATGGGGCTGGATTTAATGCATCTGAGAGCACTGAGGGAGTTGGCTGATGTGATTGCAGAGCCATTGGCCATTATCTTTGAAAACACGTGGAGATCGGGGGAGGTCCTGGATGATTGGAAAAAGGCAAATATGGTGCCCATCTTTAAAAAAGGGAAAAAGGAGAACCCGGGGAACTACAGACTGGTCAGTCTCACCTCAGTCCCTGGAAAAATCATGGAGCAGGTCCTCAAGGAATCCATTTTGAAGCACTTGGAGGAGAGGAAGGTGATCAGGAACAGTCAACATAAAGTCACCAAGGGCAAGTCATGCCTGACCAACCTGATTGCCTTCTATGATGAGATAACTGGTTCTGTGGATATGGGGAAAGCGGTGGATATGATGTATCTTGACTTTAGCAAAGCTTTTGATACGGTCTCTCACAGTATTCTTGCTAGCAAGTTAACAAAGTATGGATTGGATGAATGGACTATAAGGTGGATAGAAAGCTGGCTAGATTGTCGGGCTCAACGGGTAGTGATCAACGGCTCAATGTCTAGTTGGCAGCTGGTATCAAGCGGAGTGCCCCAGGGGTCGGTCCTGGGGCCGGTTTTGTTCAACATCTTCATTAATGATCTGGATGATGGGATGGATTTCACCCTCAGCAAGTTTGTGGATTACACGAAGCTATGGTGAGAAGTAGATATGCTGGAGGGTAGGGATAGGGTCCAGAGTGACCTAGACAAATTAGAGGATTGAGCCAAAAGAAATCTGATGAGGTTCAACAAGGACAAATGCAGAGTTCTGCACTTAGGAAGGAAGAATCCCATGCACTGTTACAGGCTGGGGACCGATTGGATAAGCAGCAGTTCTGCAGAAAAGGACCTGGGGATTATAGTGGACGAGAAGCTGGATATGAGTCAATGTGCCCTTGTTGCCAAGAAGGCTAATGGCATATTGGGCTGCATTAGTAGGAGCATTGCCAGCAGAGCGAGGGAAGTGATTATTCCTCTCTATTCGGCACTGGTGAGGCCACGTCTGGAGTATTGTGTCCAGTTTTGGGGGCCCCCCTACAGAAAGGATGTGAAAAAATTGGAGAGAGTCCAGCAGATTGTAATGAAAATGATTAGGGGGCTGGAGCTCATGACTTATGAGGAGAGGCTGAGGGAACTGGGCTTATTTAGTCTGCAGAAGAGAAGAATGAGGGGGGAATTTGATAGCGGCTTTCAACTACCTGAAGGGGGGTTCCAAAGAGGATGGATCTCGGCTATTCTCAGCGGTGGCAGATGACAGAACAAGGACAATAGTCTCAAGTTGCAGTGGGGGAAGTTTAGGTTGGATATTAGGAAACACTATTTCACTAGGAGGGTGGTGAAGCACTGGAATGGGTTACCTAGGGAGGTGGTGGAACCTCCATCTTTAGAGATTTTTAAGGCTCAACTTGACAAAGCCCTGGCTGGGATGATTTAGTTGGTCTTGGTCCTGCTTTGATGACCTCCTCAGGTCTCTTCCAACCCTAATCTTCTATGATTGTATGAGCTCTGAGTCTGGTCATTTTATTTCACTGGTGCTGAAAATAATAAATTCATTACAGCCACATCTTATAATTTCTGCTAAACAGGTTAATCTGATTAGGGTCTTAATTCAGGAAAAATTTTAAGCACATATTATTCCTATTCAGCAAGGCTTGTAAGCATGTTTCACTTTAAGCACAAGCTAAAATCGTATTGATGTAAATGAAATTCAAACACAGAGTTACAGTTAAGCAAATGCTTAAGTGCTTTTCTGAATATGGATGGATCACTGACTCATGAGCTAGATGCAGTGAAGAGCAATTATATAGTGATGGCATGCTAAAGAAATTAAAAGCTGAGATGAGGAGATGATCATCTGTAGTGGTCTCCCATGACTCTGAAAACTTTTGGTGTTTACAACTGTTTTGACACTGGATAAGTTAATAAATATTTTATATAAAATATTTATAAACTTGCTGTATTTATTGATATAATTCAAAAGAATCAGGGTGCACTTTTGATTTAAATGGAACCTAAGCATCTACTTCAGTGCTTAGTTAAATAGGGATAATTTGCTGATCTGGAGTCTTAGGTTTGTCTACGCTGCATTCCAAGGTGTGACTGCACCACACTTGTCTTACTCACAGTAGCTCAGCGAAAATAGCATTGTAGACATGGCAGCATGGGTCAGCACAGGCTGGCAATGCGAGTACCTATCCAGCATCTCCGGACTCTTTATACAAACCAAGCTGAAGCCCATAGTACCACATTTACAATGCTATCTTTAGCTCTGCTTATGTAGGTAAAGCTAACATAGATATTACCTGTGATGCAGTTATACTGCAGGTTGCAGTGTAGATGCATTCTTAGTTAACATTCACCTCATATATTAATTCCAGGTTAAATGGGCTTTGTAGAGTATTCACAGAACAGACCTGAACAGACAACTCCTGCATCTTCGTTGTGCCTGCAGTTATGCAAACCCCATCCTCCAGATGGACATTCCCAGAGACTGGATTCATTCCCAGAGCAGTTCACATCATCCAGCCAGATCTGCTCAGATCCTTCCCCATAATGTGCAGAGATAGTTGCACTGATGGCGCATCCACATCCCAGTTCTCTACAAATAACATTGGAGTCTGACAGGTCCCAGGAATCATCACAGACTGTTCCCCAGGTGCCATTGTAATAAATCTCCACTCTCCCAGCACAATGATCTGACCCATTCACCAGTCTGATCTGCCTGTTTCCTGTAGGGATAAATCCCAGTTGTTAACATGTCATATTCCTATTGAACAAAAGCAGGTTTGTGAGATTCCAGAAATAAAAACACATGAACAAATGATACGGTCATACTCAGCAATTCCGGACTATGCTGTTTCCGATGTGGAGATTTTGAAAGTTGTCAAATGGTCTTATCTCCTATGAACTTTATACTTAACCCGAACAGAGCACATTCCTTATTCAGACTTAAGAGGGTTAAAGTGATTCTGAATGTTTGCAACGGTATGAGTTCTGTGACAAGATTTTAGGCTTTTTGCACAACAAAAAACTCAGGCTCTTTGTCATTCTTAGCAGCCTGCTTTTTCCCTTCTATGTGCTTTTTCATATTTTCTCTGGAAGCCTGATGCCAATTCTATTGAAGTCAAGGGGAGTGTTTCCATTGAGTTCGCTGGGCTTCGGATTAGTGTAGTGCACTAAGGGCTTACCAATAGTCAACTCATAGTTTAAAACTATTATTACATGACGTCAAACAATGTTTCATGTAAAATAAAGACTCGCTGATTTTTTTTATAGTTTTGCATCACAAATGATGTCATAGTATGTCATGACTCCTTATGTTTTTAAACTAAAATTATGACTTTTGAATTTTTGTCTTGACAAAAATCTAGCTTTGGTTGTAAAATTTCTGCATCTTGACACTTAATGTTCCACAGACCATCCAGGACTCTGACCAACATACCATAAAGGGGAATCTCATCTTACTCCACACACCAATTATGTTCATTAAAAGTTTCAGCTATTCAGAGAGAGTGTCCTATGCTTAGAGCCCTGCACAGATACAAAATTTGGATCTACATCCATCCGTGATCCATGCGGATATAAAGCATATATCTGCTGATTTGCAGGGCTCTAACTATGCTCTGGAGTGGAAACAGTATAGGTCTAATTCATGTAAACCCTTTAAAACATGCTCAAGTCTCAATGACTTCAATGAGATTGAAGTGCTTTTCTGAATAGGTGTCTAGAACTAACTACTGTATATTAGATTTGATATAGTCTATACATATGAATTACCATTATAAGTTACTAAATCAGAAGGGTTAGTACCCAATTTGCTGTCATGAGACAAGGACCTGCTTGTGTCTCAAGGTTTCCATTTATATCCACATGTGGACAAATGAGACTCAAATCCAGATGAATGGATTCTAGAGCAAGTGAAGTGTGAAATAAATGACAACTTTATGCCCTATCCTTGAACAGCAACAGTTTTCAAAGCCTGGAAAGTGACTATTCTGGTGCCTATTTTTTAAAAGGAAGAGAAAAAGAAAATAAAAAGGCTACAAGGATGCTGTGCCAAATTTGAAGATAAAGCCTCAGTTGTGCCCCCAATGTGGCTGCTGATTTTGCTCCTTTTACAACTTGATTTAGAATCTAGACCACTATTCCTCTCTCTGTGCCCAGAGGTCCTCCTGTGCTGGAAGGCAGGGTCACACACTGAGGGGCAGGTGTCATTAATCCTGCATTTCTCTTACACTTACCTGAACAAATCACACTGGCATCATTATCATGTGGGCACCGAGACGCCTCCAACATGGTAACAGGGCCGTAACCCAAATGGGGTTCAGAACTCTTATCGTGAAGTGAGTCTGTCCAGTCAGAGCCATTTCCTTCCCCAAAATATCCTTCACCCGGAGTCAATATGGCAAATCCACAGTCAAGCTGATTGCAAAGGACATTGGCAATGGATAAGTCCCAATGTGAGTCACACAGGGCTCCCCAGGCACCATGCACCTGGATCTCCACTCTCCCTGAGCACTCTGTGCTGCCGTTCACCAGCCGGAAACCTGGGTGCCCTGGGAAGAAGGAGAATGGTTTAGAGAGGGACCCTTTGAGCTATTTATTATCAAGTATTATGAGGGAATTTTATTTCTTTATACCATCAAAATGTTTGTGTTTCTGTGTTTTAGAACAAATTTATACTAGCCCAGTGATCCAAGTTCCATTCAGAATAAGGACATTTTCTTAGTATATTTATTAATGTCGTCCAGAATACTTTCCATAATTGTTTAATCTGACCTGGGATTTAGGGTGTTTCTTTGTAACATCACTGTGCAGCACAGTTTGTGTTCCAAGTTTGCAGTTTATACAGCCGGGCAATCATATTGGCCTGTTTCCAGTGTTCTAAACAAACAAACACCTTTGTATTCACTGTAGCTGAATCCTGTCTTTTTTTCTACTTCAAGGGATACAGCACACAGTAGACTAGAATATATTACTGGTATTTTAGAGTCATCCTTTTGAAAGTCTTACGTGAGCATATGATGCTGACAACATTAGCAGGACCACATGTCTGATTCGCATGTGATGTTCTGGGACAGTACACAAGGTGGGATTCATTCCCTACACACTGGAATGTTTCATTCCAGACTCTTCCATTTCCTTCTCCAAACTGAGCTCCTTCCAGGATAGATATGGCTGTTCCACAGTTTAGTTCGTTGCAGATAACGCTGGCAGTATTGAGACTGAAGTTGGAATCACAGACTGTAGACCATGTTTCTTCTCCATGTCTTACTTCAACACGTCCTGAGCAGACACTGTCCCCTCCAGCAAGTTGGGGTGTAATATGACCTGGAAATATTCAGTGAGAATATTATAACAATGTACAATATGTATTATAATGTTAATTTCAATACAACTAGTTGTGGAGTAATATGCAATTCAGCATGAATAAACGAATAATGTGGGGAGTGGATAAAGCACACGACCAATGTGGTTGCAAGCTGACTCAAGCTGACTCCGTTTATTACAAGCTTTCTTTATAATCCTTCTTGCTGAACCAAACTGACTCTGTTTATTACAAGCTTTCTTTTATAGTCTTTTTTAACATTGCATAACACAATTAGGCTACAATTACACATCTACCGATTGGACAAGAAGGAGAATCATGTGTTTATTACATGTATAGCCCCACACCGATTGGTTCAATTGTTCCTTACATAAGGCCTCATCTTATATAACCACCAGGGGGCCTTACATAAGGCCTCATCTTATATAACCACCAGGGGGCCTTACATAAGGCCATGATTTATTACCTTGTTTACCTCATTTTATATAATCCCTAGACCACCAGGGGGCGCCTTTGTTTTACAAGGCCATGAGCCATTGCCAGGCAAGTGTCCCATCGTGACCCTTACCCTCTCATGGAACTTTACATCCCCACAGAATAAAATTTGGTCCTGTACAATCTAAGGATATAGCTATATCATTAAAAAGTACACACTGAATCTATCATAATTAACATTACATTAAATCACAATCTGCTACTGCCATTTATAAAAGGCTGTTATCAATATTTTTAAAATATTGTGTAATTATTACTTATTCACTGAGTGCTCCAAAGCATGCTAGACATCATTCACTCACATAAAAATTACAGTTTCTAGCCAGCATTGCTTCCAATTTAAAATATAGACAAAGATGCAATGAATGGTGCTGAAAAACATGAGGAGGAGAATAGGGAGAGAGAAGAAAAATGATTATTAATAGATCATAAGGATTTTTAAAAGTTGTTACATTCTGCTAAGTCTTGCACATGTATTCACACACATATACTCTGTATGTAAACAAAGATAAAAATTGATACATAAATTATGCAGAATTTACACATACATTGCCCCTGCAAGTGGTAATGATTTCCTGCCACTTCCCATTGTAAAATCCTGTTTTACATTGTTTGGCCACTTTGCCAAACTTTAACAATTTGTGCTGAAATTGTCCATGTCAAGCGTATGCCTTTTTCTGTTTTGTTTTTGTTTTTAAAGATAGTTGAGCTGTTTACAAGAATGAGATAAGACAAAATTATGTTGTTTTCCCCAAGTGACGAATTGCTTATAAAATTTTATTGAGAAGCTCTCGTCCTTCCTTACACTGGAGCAGGGACTTGCAATTTGGAAGGGAGGTCACTGTGGTGTCAGGGATGTGACTTTTGTTTTTTTCATTAAAACCTGCACAAATCTGGCCACGTTAGGTGCCTTTGAATAACTGCAGTTCACACATGCTCTGCAGAGACCTGTTAGAGTTCAGATGCTAAATTCTCTGAAGATTCCATACTGAACATACTCCAGCCCCTCACAGTTCCTATATGTGACCAGACTGTGTATGCACCATCCCAGGGCTGCAGGGGCTTAGTAGGATTTTCCCTTCAATTGCTGTTCCAGGCTGAGGTGTTCTAAGCACCAGAGCTGGGAGGGAGATGTCTCCCTTCTTGCCCCCTGCTTACCCCCAGGCAGCAAGAAGGGGAAAGCAGCTTAACTCAGAATGCAGAGGGTGAGTAATGTGGAGGTAGACATGAGGAGAGAGTAAGGAGAAGCAGAGGGAGAAGGAGATAGTAGCCAGAAGTGTGTGTGTGGGGCGGGGGTGGGAGAGCAATGGGAGACAGGAACTTGTGGTAGTGGTGGGAAGTAATTTCAATGGAAGTTTGGTCCCTAGACACTTCTGAAAATCCCAATAGGTGCCTGTCTTCTTCTTTAGGCACCCCAATGACTTTAAAATTTAGCCCTGTGTCTAGTAGTTATAACTCCTTGCTTATGCATAGCCACCCTCCTCCCTATGTCTGTCCCTGCCCCCTCACCGCTGAGCATTCCAATCGGGACTCGGGACCTTGCGGGAAGGGGCAAATGGGAGAAGAAATGTGTGGAAGGGAGAGAGGGTCAGGGGTAACTTAGGAGACCAAGAGAAGTGGAGAGGGACAAGGGAACATTGGGGTTACCAGAGTGAGGGGTGATGTTGCAGAGGTGGAAACAGAGGGACCTTAAAAGGGAAAGGGAATGTAAACAGGGGGAGATGGGGACCCCAGAAGTAGGAAGCCCATTGAAGGAATGATGTGATACAGGTGCCCAGAAGAGGGAGAGCAGCCAACTCTTGTATTCTGCTTTTTTTTAACTCCACCACTATCCTACGGCGAGGAAGGAATGTGATTATTGCTCTAGAGAGTGGGAAGTGGAGGAGTGAGAGTGCCACCAACCAGAGCACCCCCAGAACTTTCCCACGGCGTGCATTGTCACTCCCTGTGGAGCCATGCCCACTGCAGTTGCTAGCCCCATCACTTCGCCCATTGAACGCTCAGCCCCCACCTTCTAACCTGGCCCATCCAGGTGCAGTGTCACTCCCTATCCCTGAGAAGGGACATAGGCAGTTGGATGCTGATCAAGGCTGGGCAGGCCCTGGGGAGGGCGTTCTAGTGCAGGAGCTGCCCCATAGCAATGGTGAGGAGGAGCAGTGCTGGCCAGCCTACTGCCCAGTTTGCCCACTCAGGTCTGGCCCTGCTGCCCCCGCCAGGATAGAAGACTGACGGGGCCAAACCTGAGTGGTCAGTGGGGCAGCCTGACTGCTTTTCTTGACTGTTACACACTGGCCATAACGTGCATACAGCTGTGGGCGCCTCTTCCACCAGCTGCCTCCTCCCTCCCTGTAACTCTCCTAAGTGCCTGCGTCCCTCCTCCTGCCCCTGCCCCAGATCTGCAGGGGAGCAGAGAACAGCGACAGGTGCCATGTCTCCTGGGCAGACAGAGCAGAACCAGTGACAGCCAATGCTCAGGACAGCACCTGCACCGCGGCCCTGGATCTCCTGGTGGGCTATGATTCCCCTCTGCCACTGACTGGAATTAAGAAAATGAACTGTAAAATTGCTGTAAAATGGGAGGTGTATAAACATTGAAACATAGCTGGAATAGTGAAAATCGTTTACAAGTGACTGAAGATGTGAATTACACAAATATTTCCCCAGTGTCCAGTTAGGTTAGTAAGAATTACAGGTTTCTATTTTTATTTCTCATTAGGGTCAGAGGAATGTGACACTCTAGATTAATTCCTTTTTCTCTCAGGAGGATTTTACCTTTAAGGCTGGATTTCTTACCTGAACAGGTGACTCCAGCAGGCTTATGATGATCACAGCTATGCACACCCCATCCTCTGTGTTTGCACTCCAAGAGAGATGACTCAGTACCATCACAGGCAACTTCATCCAGCCAAATTGGCCCAGAACTGGACCCAAAATGAGCTTGATCATGGACACTATCAGCAGATCCACATCCCAACTGCCTACAAACAACTTCAGCATCTTCCATTTCCCAGACACCATCACACACCATCCCCCACTGATCCTTGTGTTTAACCTCCACTTTCCCAGCACAGGGGCTGCCTCCGTCCACCAGCCTCAGCTCATCAGTAGCTCCTTCAAAAAGAGACACATTGTGGGGTTACTGGAGAGAGCATTGAGCCACATATCCATCATTATTATTAATTTGAGAGAAAGAGAGAGAGAGAGGCAAAGTAAATTCCAGAATTAAAATTTCTCATGTATCCTTAATTTGTTTCCCTTGGGCATATGCATTATGATACACTCTTTAAATTACATGACTATTATTTACACAGGACCACTGCTCCTTACTTAGGCCTTGCATGATCTTGGAGAGAGGATCTCTTTGATTTTGATCTCTTTCAATAACAAATATTTGAAGAAAATGAAACTGGGGCAAGAAGGGGGCTGATTCTTTTATTGTTGTGACAAATGTTTTGATATTTTTTGTTTGAAACAATTGAATACCAACCCAGTGATCTGAACTCCCTGCAGTACAGACATTTTATTGTTACACCATGAGTCTAGAACAACCATCTCTGGTATTTTAGAGTCATCACTTTAATTCTTACCTGAGCACACGATGCTGACATCATTTGCATGTGAGCATGTCTCAGTCAAATGTGATACCCTGGGACAATAGAAGAGTTGTGACTCATTCCCTGCACACTGAAGTGTTTCATTCCAGATTGGCCCATCTCCTTCTTTAAAGTGAGCTCCTCCCAGGATAGATACCACTGCTCCACAGTTTAATTCACTACAGATAACACTGGCAGCTTTGAGATCGAAGTCAGCATCACAGACTGTAACCCATGTTTCTCCATGTTCTATCTCAACACGTCCTGAACAGATACTCTCCCCTCCAATCAGCCGGGACTTAATATGGCCTAGAGAATCAATAAAGCCAGCGAGTGAGACATTGACATTCTGCAGCATCTTATATACCTTGATCTGGAGAAATATTACTTTCAAATATTTTCACTGGAAACCATAAGACAACGCAGTGAGTATGTTTCAATGATGCAGTGTCTTATATGCTTAAAATGCAGAGTTAGACAACATCATTTAAAAAACACAGTTGTTACCAGTGTTTTTAAACTAATACATTATTTTTGTTAATTACTGTTTTATTACCATGCATTCTTCACTTTGAATTCACACACAGACACTATTGCACAAACATTTTTAAAGTCAGGTTATGCTTGAAACACACAGGTCAGGATTTTCAGATATAAATACCTAAATTTTGACTTATAAATTTATATTTAGGTACCCAAATAAATGCTCTTACTTAGATGTCTTAACATGGTGTGACAGACCCAGACCAGTGGGGTACAGGAGTCTGGTCCTATTGGGATCCAGGATGTGGGCGGGCGGGTGAAGCCCGCCCACTGCTAAAGGATCCCCCCCGCCTGAGGGGGGGTCCACAGGACCTGGAGACCAAAAAATTACAGGGGACAACTAATAAAAGAACAGGGACAGGAGTGAGGTCAAAGGGTCACACGAAGGGAACCAGACGGGGACACCGAGCAGAGAACCCTGGACAGCGCCCACTGCTCCTCGAAGGTGTCAAGGGAGCCAGCGGACGCCGCCCAGAGGAACTCTGCCCGGAGACGTGAATGAACGGAGGACCTGAAATAGGCCCCACAGTCACAGGAGACTCCATCGGCCAACCTCCTCACTTTGGTTTTATAGATGGCCAGTTTTGCTAGGGCCAGGAGGAGGTTGACCAGGAGGTCCCGTGACTTTGTGGGGCGATGGATAGGGAGTGCATAAATAAAAAGGTGAGGGGAAAAGTGCAACCAAAATCTTAACAAAATATCCTTGAGGAGCCGGAATAGGGGCTGCAGCCTGGCGCACTCCAGGTAAACATGCGCCAGGGTCTCCCTCACGCCGCAGAAGAGGCAGGTGTCTGGGATAGGGGTAAACTGCGCCAAGTACAGGCCCGTGCTCACGGCTCCGTGAAGGAGCCGCCAACCGATGTTCCCGGTGGGTTTTGGGATCAGAGTAGAATAAAACCCTCCAGAGGTGGCAGAAGGTCCCGCCACTTTGTATCAGGGCGGGACGCGAGGGTGAGGACATGAAGAACATGGAGCACGAGCATGTATAGATGTTTCCTTGGTGCGGTCCGGAACAGAACCGGCTGCAGATCGGAACAGAACCGGCTGCAGCCGGCTCATGGCGAAGGGACAGGGAGGGGGCCGGTTGGGTCCACGGGCCCGATGAAAAAGTCTGGAGGGCTCGGAGTGGAGGGTGGGCGGGGCGTGCCCTCTCGCAGGACCCGGTCGAGATAGTCCCAGGCAGCGGGTGGCAAAGCGGCCCTCACCTCCTGAAGTACGCGCCGGGGAGTACAAGGCCTGGAGAGCCCCATGCGCTGAGCGAGTGTCAGGGGATCCAGCCAGTCTCCCCGGTCGTAGTCCAGGAGGTCTCCGACTTTGGTGACTTCTGCCATGACCAACCTCTGGCACACCATGGGGGACTCTGCCACCTGCACACGGAGCTGGGGGTTGTGTAGGAGGGGCTCCACGAGCCCACAGTGGCCGCCACGGACCTGGTCACTGAGAACAGTTTCCAGGTCCGGAGGAGGTCCTGGTAGAAGACCGGCAGCCCAGAGAGGTCTCGCGGAAGACCTCTCGGATGGAGACAAAGGAGCTGCCGGTCATATCGGAGCCCTCGGAAGCGGCGCAGGAAGGTGTGCACCAATACGCTCCATGCCAGACTACCTGCACCATGAAGGAGCCTCTGCAGGGCCTGGAGGCGGAAGATGTGGACCTGAGCATACAGACACTTCAGGCCCTGCCCTCCCTCCTCCAGGGGTAGATGGAGAACCCCCGCAGAGACCCAGTGCAGTCCTGACCAAAAGAACTCCAGAATCGACGTCCGGAGGGTGGCCAGGAAACCCGGGGCCGGGACCAGGGTGTTGAGCCGGTACCAGAGCATGGGCAGGACTAGTTGATTGAGCACCAGTGCTCTCCCTCGAAGGGAGAGACACCGGAGCAGTCCTGTCCATTTCCGGAGCCGCTCCTACACCCTGCCCTCTAAACCTAGCCAGTTCTCCGGTGGAGACAGATGCGTGGCAGAAAGGTAAACGCCAAGATAGAGCAGCGGACCCGTGCTCCACCGAATGGCCTGAAGCGCGGTTGGGAGGGAGCTTGCCTGCCACCCTTCCCCTACCACCAGGCCAGAGCTCTTGACCCAGTTGACCCGGGCGGAGGAGGCTGCCGAATAGATGGTCTGGCAAGCCTCCACCCGCACCAAGTCGCCCGGGTCCTGGACCACGAGGAGTACGTCATCGGCGTACGCCGACAGGACCAGCCGCAGCTCCGGCTCCCTCAGCACCAACCCTGTCAACCTCCTACGGAGGAGACAGAGGAAGGGCTCGATCGCCAGAGCATACAGCTGGCCTGAGAGGGGGCACCCTTGACGTACTCCTCGCCCGAAGCTGACTGGTTCGGTCAGGGTCCAGTTGATCCTGACCAAACACTCTGCGGAGGCGTACAGCACCTGGAGAAAACCCACAAGCTGGGGCCCGAAGCCAAACGCTTGCAGAGTGCCCAGGAGATACTCGTGGTCCACCCTGTTGAACGCCTTCTCCTGATCCAGGGACAGGAGGGCGAAAGACAGACCATCCCTACACCCGAGTTCCAAGAGGTCCCGGACCAGATACAAGTTATCGAAGATGGTGTGGCCCGGGATGGTGTAGGTCTGGTCTGGGTGGATCAGGTCTGCCAGCATGGACCCTAGCCGCAGCGAGATGGCCTTCACTACGACTTTATAGTCCGTGCTGAGGAGCGAGATGGGACGCCAATTCCGTAAATCGCGGAGGTCCCCCTTCTTCGGCAATAAGGTGAGCACGGCTCGCCTGCACGAAAGAGGGAGGACCCCGCCCTGCAAGGACTCGGCCCAGACGGAGACAAGGTCCGGGCCGAGGACGTCCCAAAACACGCGGTAGAACTCCAAGGTCAGCCCGTCCATGCCCGGAGATTTATTGGTGGGCATGCGGCGGAGGGCTTCCGAGAACTCGGCCAGAGTGAGAGGCAGCTCCAGCCGGTCTCGGTCGCCCGCGCTGACCGTCAGGAGTTCATCCCAGATCATTCTGCAAGCATTAGGATCGGTCGGATCCGGGGAGAAAAGGCCTGCATAGAAGGCCCTGGCCCTCCCGCACATCTCCACCGGATCCATGAGGGGGGTGCCGTCCTCTGCTAGAAGGCAGGTGACATGCTTCTTGGCCCCCCTCTTTTTCTTCAGGGCGTAGAAGAAGCGGGAGCCGCGATCCATCTCCCGAAGGAAGCGGATGAGGGATCAAACAAAGGAATCTCGGGCCCGATGGTCCTCGAGGGTCCGGAGCTCCTCCCGCTTCTCCCGGCACGCTCCGCAGAGGGATGGATCACCAGGGCTGGCGGCCAAATGCCTCTCCAGCTCGAAGACCTCCCGTTCCAACTGCCCTATCGCCGCATCCCGCTGGCGCCCCGGGTGTAGTCACGGCAGAAGAGCCGGGCACGCACCTTTCCCAGATCCCACCACCGCCGCGCCGAGGGAAAGGCACACCGCTGCCCTCGCCAGGCCAGCCAGAACTCCTGGAAGGACGCCACGAAGCCCACATCCTCCAACGAGCTATTATTAAAGTGTCAATAGGCTGGCCCCGGCCTCTCCGTGCAGAGAGAGGCTGTCACGGTGGCCAAATGGTGATCTGAAAAAGGGGCCGGCCGGATGCTGGAGGAGTGGGCCCGTGAAAGATGGAAGCGTGACAAATAAATGCGGTCCAACCGGGAGTGGCGCGACCGATGGACCTCCACCCGGACAAAAGTGAACGTCGAAACGTCATCCAGGTGGTGGTTGCGCCAGATGTCCACCAGGGAGTGATGTTCAACGATCTCCCGGATGACGTCCGCGGCGGCCGGGTGCTGCTCGGTCCCCGAGCGGTCCCGTTCCCCGAGGGTGGCATTAAAGTCCCTGCCCAGGACCAGGCACTAGCGAGGATCCAAGGTGCCGAGGAAGGTGGACGCTTGCTGATAAAAACGCAATCTCTCCGGGCCCGATGTCGGGGCATAAATGTTGACGAGATTAACCACAAGCCCCTCCATGCGAACCCGGAGGTGCAGCAGGCGGCCCGGCACAGCCTCGGTGACCCCCAGCACCTCGGGCCGTAGGTCGGGGGAGAACAGGGTCGCCACTCCAGCCGTACGAACTGTGAGGTGGCTAAAGTAGACCCTGTCCCCCCACTCCAGCCGCCAGCTAGCTTCAGCGGCCGGAGCCGTATGGGTCTCCTGCAGGAAAATCACAGAGTACCCCCCCCTCCCGAAGGAAGGAGAGCACCTGGCTCCTGCGGAGACCCATCCTACAGCCCCGGGTGTTTAACGTTGCAAAGATGATCGGTGCCAAAAGGAGGGCTGGGGGGGATACTCGCTGGCAGAGATGCCCACGGCCTCCGTCGGGCCGCGCAACAATCCGTGACCTACCCCGTAGGCAATTAAGTAGTCACGGAAGAGGCGGACCCGTTGGTAGGCCGCGGCGGCCTGCCTCCCGGTCCTCTTACCCTCTCGCATGAGGGCCCTCGCAGCCCAGAGGATCTGATGGAAATCCCCCCATCGCTGGAGTGCAAGCTGTACCTTGTTGCGGGAGCCACGGACGTCCTCAAGGAACTCCCGTAGCTCCTCTCTCAGCGTATGGGGGGGTGGGGTTACCGATCTATGACTTTCCCCCAGTAGGGCCCCTGTCACAGCCCCGTGGCCCACCGAGACGGGCAAGCAGGGGGCAGATCCTCGACGTGGTGTCCGATGGGCCGACACCACACAGTCTGCCTCGTTCCCCGGTTCAACAGGGGGTGGTGGAGGGAAGATAGCAGCCCCTGGTGGGTCGGGACAGGGAAAAACAAAGGCCACTCCTT